AATTTCCAGCCACCCTCTGTGCACTACCATTCATCTCTCCTACCCAAGGTTTTGAAACTGCTAACAAGCCGTCGATACTTGATTCTTGTGCTCACCCAACGAAAAACTCTCATGGTAGAGGGTATAGTTACAATCCAACACCATTGGGTCACATTGACCATGTCACCCTGCTCGTTTGACTATTGGGCTGAAATGGAGGGGCCGATGATATAACAGATTGTCACATACTACACATGTTATCCACGCTTGTTTAAGGATAGATCTTAGACCCACTCAACTGAATACCCCACAACGCGGCCTGAGAAACGTTCATAAAGACGTATATCGCACTGGTAGCGCCACGTATCGGAACAGCCATCTCTCGATCGTAAAATCCACAAGGAGTCCATTCTGAGGATCTCAGAAACAACCGTCACTCTGGACAGCATACGATAGGCACCTCGCTAACCTCTGTGCGAATTTATCGCGGGGATAGGGTGACCTATCAGCAGGAGTTAATGAGGTTAATTCTGCACGAAACGCTGAAATTCTTACAGCAGACGTTAATGGCCCTAGCAAGGTGAAGTGCGGTATCCCAACAGGTCCACGGCTTATGAGGGTACGCGGACTCAGCAATCGAAGTAGTCGGTTTCGGTACTCCAAATGCATTGCAGCAGGCCACAGTTCAACCATATTCTCGTCTCCAATTACTCCACCATTAGGTTCATCCAACATATACCTTCACCGTAGAAGCTGTGTTGAAGAAATTGTTATCCCTGTATAACCACAGATCATTCTGGAGTGGATAATTCTCGACCAAAGGCTCCGCAGGCAGTAAACAGTGATTTAGGGGTAACATTGGCCATATTTCTATTATCGCTGCTAGAGCGCATAACCATAAATTCCACCAGTATGGAAGCGAGGATTCATCACTTCTATTCATACTTGAAGTAGTTATCACTGACCCTACAATGGTTGTTCGAAAACGCCGCTTCCCATGTTATTCAACCTTATGGAATCAATCAACTCAGATGCGCTGATGCAGTACTTGGAAAAGCATAGCTAATGACCCACGAAGCAACATGGCTTCAGTCAAAAGCACTCATCTACCACTAACTTATTATTGCACGCATTAGCTGGACTGAAGCCGTTGGTTATGAAGCAGGAGTCGAGATCATCTACCTGAACTTCTCAAAAGCGTTCGATCGCTTAGACCTATGAATTCCCTTCACAGACTTCGGAACTACGGCATTTGGCGACACAATCCTGGGTTGGATAAATAATTTTCCACAAGACGTCGGTTGGAAGTGAGAGCCCGGAATATCTGTCCGATGCAATTGATGTGGAGTGCGTGTACTACAAGGCTCCGCTGCTAGGTGCTTGTTGTGATCGCTACCCTCCCTCTGCTCTCTGCCACACCAACCCAGCCGGGAACAACAACAGAACACCGAAGTCTGCTAGACCGAAGTAGGTTAGACATAGAACACGGTTCATTGTATAGGTCATTAGCTATCATCAACTTTTGTAAGTTCCTGAACTGATTCAAGCCACTGGTCCTGAACAGCTTTTAAGCCTACTTACAGTCCGCACTGGCCAGCTGTTATCGCGCTCTGTCACGTAGCAACCCGTGTGATGATGGTCTGATTTCATCAGCTACCAGCGTGACTGAGCCGTGCTACCGTCGTTGGGTAGCAACACCCGTGTCATACAGCAGGACATCTCGAAATCGTGTCACGTTCATATGCTGCAGCCTGCTAGAGTGTACCATCGTAGTAAACCGTTTCGCCTCGGTGACAGTGCTCCACCATTCTTGGTTTTTCATAAAGGAATCTAACGAGATCGATTGCTTCCGATTTTCCTGATGATACCAAGATATGGTGAGCGATCAGAGGACCTGAGCTCCACGGACTGCGATCTTAACACCATTGACGAACTGGCCAGTTCCAAAAATAACCCCTACATTCAACGTAGACAAATGTTGCCTAGTGTAATCACACTATAGGCATGGATACATGTATTAGGCTTGGGGGCACCATATTGCCCAGATTAAGCTCTCTCTCAGGAACTCCTGGATCATGTTTGCTCGTATGCGGAGTAAACGTAATATTCAAACACAGTAATGAAATATGCTGCCTGGGAAAAGGCATGCAACTCGTTGGTCCTACTACGGCTAAAGTGCATTCAAAAGATTTTGACCCATCATCTTCCCAATTAAGGTACTAATTCCCTAACGACGTGTCGTCACGTTAAATCGCTTACGCACTCTTAGCTGAAGCGAAACCTAGGATTGCGACATTCAAACACAACACAGGGCAAGATAAAATGTCAAGTTCTACTGCAGTTAATCCTACCGAAAAAAGACTGAAATTGCTGGGCATTTTCAGCGGACGCTACCGAAGGCTACGCCGATGATCGCATATTAGTATACCAAATACGGAGTAAACTTCAACCAAGTATGCTACCATTTGCTGAAACTTAGCTGCAACACTAAGCTCAGAGATGACTGCCTGAAATTGAGTGAACAGTATAGCCGTCTAGAGTGTACGGTGGAATTACTTTTCTCTGCGAGTTTGCTAACCCTGTAACTCTCCCAAAACTTAGTTCTCTCATCTCCTACTTTGGGGCATTTCCGAAACTCGGTTGGATGTTGCTGTTAGCTCCCACCACTTCGTTCCCTAAACTACGCCATTGTGATTAACGTTAATTATGCCCTTCTACAGGATTTACGTGCCACATGGACCTAAGGATGCGGCGCATGTCGTGAGCGACCATATTTTTACTTTTCGCACCCTTTAAACGTTCACTGCAACTCCCCTGTTCTTTTGTATGCTTGCGTTCACACTTTGATTTCCACCCTGATTTTCTTTTATCAACGCACTTTAACTCGTCAGACTATCGTTAGATGACTGACATAATTTTTGATTTTATAATATGCGTCCGAACCACACTACGATACGCGTCAAGCACTTGCTTTTTAATCCGTGAGAGATCATTGTTCACTATGCATCTTTTAGAATGGGTGCACATGCAGTCTTTTAAAGCGCTTTGTTCTGTTTTGGATGGTCTACACATGTAATGTGCGTTTGCTCATTAAGTTACACTCCTAGCGGCACATTAGCTGAGATATGTTGGTGATGATGTTTCACTTTGGGCCTAATTCCCTTGATTTTCCCAAATAACTGATCTTTGAATAGACGAATAATGCTTGAATTAAATTACAGCGCACGCGCTTTGGAAAATGATCGCTCATCTCTGCTAGCTGAACTTAGAGATACTTAAGTAAAATTTTCTGCACACATCATCTGTTTACTTCATCGGCGATGCTATGGCTTTCATATGAGTTTGCCCTGATTTTGCTGTTTAATTTTACGCTGTCTATGCTTTTAGGCTTGGCGTGAAGTGGAATGTGATAAAGAGATGACTCTTCCAACCCCGAACAAATATATCGCCACCGAGTTCACTGTTCACCCCAGACCGAAAGATTTCTCAAATGTGGCTCCCGAGTTATTGGTATCCACCGATTTGTCTCGCCTATGGTTTTTCCCTGACAACCAGTTTAGCCCTTCCGAAGGCTTTTATCACATTCCACTTTATCAGGTTAGTGGTCATTCACTGTACTCTTTACATGCATGTTTGATGTCCTTCACATGTTAGTAGCAATAATTTTATTATTATTATTATTATTATCATAACGATAGTAGGTAGCTTCTCATCAAAGTGAGACACGGTCCAACGAAATTGCCCTGATCATATTATTCAACATGAATTGGGCCTGGTGTTACAGACATATTTTGTTAGAGCAAACATAATTCCTTTTTGCAGCAATCCCTTCACTTCTAGTTTCATCTAGCCTTGCAACAGAAGATGAACGCCCATTGTTTTAGAAAGCTTTGCCTCGGGGTACTACTGGAGAGCGTTTAATGTTACTCTGGTGCTTCATCCAATTAGGGAGTAAAATATACTATTTTCATTTTTCACTGAAGGTTATTCATACCACACTGGACGTTTTGCAAAACAACTTTGGGCGTTTAGCAAAATACGTTGAACGTCTTTCTAACCACTTTGGACGTGTTGCAAAACAAATTGGACATTTGCAAACCAGTTCGTACACCCTTGTATTCTAAATATAAAAATTAGTAATTTGCTAGTAACAATTGGGGAGTAAGGCGACTAGACCATGTTCAGAGTGCATTCTGGTCACTGGAATGCAACAGAACTGTACTAGCCGTAGGCGACTGTCGTTTGTCGCTAATTTTGCTCGTTTCGAGCAACACAAGGCAAATAAAATCGTGCTGGTTTTGGTGGAGTCATGATGGCCTACACTGTTTCAATAGTCCAGTAGTTGCATAGGTTCGTCCATACACCCACTGAACACTCGAAAGCCCATGGAAGGACAGGCGTCACTTGTTTTGCTCGAAGTGAACGACGCCCATAATCAAGAGGAGTGCTCGCACAACCCCGTTGCTTTCGCATGAGCACAATGTGGTCTGAACATCGTCCAGTCGTCTTATCACCTTTTCTTTAATAACGATTTGCAGCAGTAGGCCATTAAAGCTAGCCTGTGTTTGGTGGAGTCATGCTAGCCTGCACTGATCCAAGAATCCAGCAGTTGAATAGGTTCGCCCTCACACCCACAAGAAGTACGCGAAACCACATAGAGTTGCAGGGGATTACTTGGTCACCTCCCAGCTGCTTCATCAGTTACGGGAATCGACGTCCATAGTGCGATTGCGCGTCACAATTCATTTACAAAAAGCGTGCTTCATAACGACCCTCTAAAACCAAGTAACATTTCTTTAACTCATGGTAGACTACGCGATTGGGGAATTTGACTCTCTACTCGTCACACAGACACGCAGATCCTTGTGCAAAGTTTGAGATACATAAACTACACGAAGACCGATGGGGAAAGAGGGGGAGACTCAGTCACTGCCTTTGGTCGAAGTGGTCAGAGTACACGAGCAAGAGGTTTTGCAGAGGCATATGCTGTTTAAACAATTCAGTTGCATTAGCATGACTACAATGTAGTCTGAAGATCGTCTAGTCGCCTTACTCCTCATTTCTTGCTATCAATTTACTGCTTTTCTGCTTGACATATAATCTATCCAAAATGGTTTGCAAAATTTTAAATTTGTTTCTCAAAACGTCACTTTGTTTTGTGATATGTCCAATGTATTTTGCGACTTTGTTTTCAAAATGTCCAAAGGGGTTTAAAATGCGTCCAAACTGAGTTGCAAAACTTCCAATTTAAAGTGATAAGGGTATAAAAGTGGCCACGGGGTGCAGCATACAAGCAATACATAGAGATTTATGAACGAAATAAAGTATAGTATTTGTACGGGACGATAACGTAAATGAGAGAAGACAAAACGATTGATTTGGACGATGGACAGCTAAGCAAAGAAACTGTGTCCCGATATGAATGACAGTAATCATGGAACACAATTTGCTTAGCGCATACGTGGATAATACACTTTATTTAGTCCACTGAAGGCGAACGTGTTTCACACATCATGCTGCAATGGGCTGGGAGGGGAAGGTGAGTAGGTATCTAAGGTACATGGTTTAATGATAAGTTATCTGCTTAGATTTGGTTTAGCCATTAAGCCGATTGACGAAGGAGTGCACTACCTGCTATGCACACCTAGCTATGCCGCCAGATGACCCATCTGCTCTGCGGGGACAATTAAGATTCCCAAACCATCTCTGCTTTTCGTCGCTTTGTTGAATTAACCTGTCAACGTAGGTTGCGTTCTACTTATTCTCTTATTGAGTCCACTAGCATAACCGCAACCCGTATTGCATCAACTTGAAGTAATGACAGTGAATTTCCCTACATTCTGAACTGAAGCAAAGTGTCGCTTCTTTTTTTTGGTAGCCCTTATCCAGAGCGTATTTGTCCAATGACTAAGAAGAATTAACCCGACTATTGGTGGTGCAGATGGAACACACAAGGTCTGACGAGTATATAACGCACATGCTTTAGTTACTAGATCGACTATAATTCAGCGTATCCTCCAAGTCTGCGACACAGTACAGTATGGTGAACATGACTGACCGCAGGAGTACTGTGCTGGCCCATTCTCCAATAATTTCAGTGACTTATTAACTGCCTTGCGATGTTCACCATGAGTTACTTTGGACATGTAATGATTTTCCAGTTGCTCCGAATGTGTGGTGGTTTTCGAATTGAGTCTGTCCGTGATAGCTTAAGTTTAGGTTACGTTTTCTGTTGGATAGCCTGACAACAACATCAAGCGTTTGTTGCAGTGAAACCAACCGTAGTCGTTTGCCATGTTTACACCTTCAAGCCCTACTTTCCGTTGGACTTCTGTCAGTCCCGACTTCCCGTCTGTGCTGATACGGATGAAAATAGAATACATCAATTATCCACTAACTCTATAAAGAACAACAGAACATTTTCCAGTTATCCGAGCCTGTCTGCTCGAGAATTTCACTTAGGAATACTCATATTGCTGGCATGGTATTATCGTCGATCATATGCAATCCTCCGGTGAAAACCGCACTTGGGTAGGTATGACCACTAAACATACCGCCACGGTGGTCCAATCGCTCAAAATTGGTGCACTTATTGGGTACCCTCGCGAACCACACGGAATACTTCATCTAGACAACCAAAGGTTTAAAGACATGAATCCTCGCTCATTATATTCCTTAGGCAAGCACTATACTTTTTACAGGCAACTTCACGCATAGTGCTAATAAGTTGCCTTATTAAAAACCCAATAACATGTTCTTCAGTCCAGTTCACGCGTGCAACAATTCATCCTCTCTCTAAGGGGTTAAATTCACGCACTACCAGTGACACGCTGAATGGTCATGGGACATTAGCCAATAAGACCCCCTAGATGTAAGCACAGCGCAAGATGTATGCGTCCATGGAGGGAGGGCAGGTATAATCCCGAGAAGGTTAACACATTGGTGTTAACGGAAGGCAACCAGGGATGAAAGTGTCAGGGCTTGAGGTCACCTGATTGTAGTTGGTCAACCTCGGATGAGGTGTTTGAACGTTCTCCCTCAGCAAAACTTTAACAGATCTTTTGTCGGAAAGAGTTACCATTAGTTCGTATTCTGGCCCGGCCGCTAGCCGGTGTACCTGAGCAAATTTCCATCGCTTGTCCGAGCAGTCCGTAACATATCGAGCGTACTACATGTGATCGGTACCGGGTGCACAGTAACAGTGGCAAATTTAGGTTCCAGGTCAGTATTGCGTATAGTCGAAACTACACTGCATGACGATAATGAAACTAACAAAAATGGGCACATCTCTCATCAAGTGAAAAGCCGTGACAATACCTGGCACAGAACCTAGATATAGAGGTGATATCATGCACTTGCAAGAGCAATATCAAGTTATTCGACATATCTGAATATGCTAGGAACCCATTGGGGTCTCAAGAATTCTGAAGTTTTGAGTAGAAATCGGTTTTTGTAGCATTACATTATGGCGCCGTTACGCTCCTTACGCAAGCGCGAAGAAGCTCTTGTGTTAAGAGCGAAACGTTTCCATAAAAAATCCTGCGAAAACCGCTTTGTATTCAAAACTTTCAGAAATCACGAAACATAAATTACTTTCGTAAATTTGCCTGCATCCTTGGCAAGGCATTTGCACCAAATCTTGGTCTTATGCGATGGTAGGAGGCAAATTTGCAGTTTGAGTATGTTGTAGACCCGGAGAACTAACTACATTGCGTGAATTGCTGGTATTACACCCATAAGACTTTAGCTGGACTTTCATTACGTAGATGTTCAAATGCTCTTTCCTACGAAAATAACGACATAATGGTGTCTAGGTAGAGGTAGCTTCGCGACTTACTGCGAAAGGATTGCACAGTCTCACACGACCTGATGGTGAATGGCAACCGATTCCACAGAGAAGCATACACCATGAGAGGAAAGTTATACCGCAAATTTGTCCTGCACCATTGTATAACCAGGGCAAGGTCTTTGTTACCTAGGTCTCGCGTGTAATTGTGCTTCAATGTTAAGGTGAATTGATTGCAACGGGTATTGCCATGAATCCGATTGTGCAGCAGTTGCTGACATCGCTCCCGAGAGTTTATGTTAGCATTTTTGCCTAATACTTGCTTGGGAAATCACCGTTGGAGGTTTTCTATCGATGTTCCGTCTGATTTCCTCATATTGTCTCAAATGTCGGCTGGTGGCCGAGTGGTATTCGCGTCTGATTTGCAACCATATGGTCACCAGTCTGAATCCGCGTAGGGGCGGGCGTCCTCGCGGTATACTCAGCCTACGCGCGACTGGTGGTGGTCGCGTGGCAGCGAAGCACCGTTATGTCCTACAGCTGGTGAGTTATTTTAGTGCTTATTTATAATTTTTATTGCCTCCGATTTTGCTGCGATACTTCAGGATGGGACAATTATGGATTTTAAATAGTTCAACCCTAGTTGTGATTGCACGCATGTTTTGAGAGATGTTAGCGAAGGATTGTCTGGCTTGTGCCGTCTGTTACTCGACCTGTTCTCAGAACATGACGTTACAAGAATATTCGATTCCAAGGTCACGGGTACGTCGTTGTACACAGAGGCGTTCGCTGCTACCTGTGATAGATATTTCGGCTGTCAAGTGACCACGACAAAGGATCCGTGACTTTTGTGCTTAAAACCATCATC